TCAAGCCTTCAGATCGACAGCAAATAAAATGCAAAGAAAATGTGTTCCATATCCTGAAGGATGCAGCCAGCGAATTCCAGACTGAGAGAAAGCTATGATAACAAACTATAATCTGCAAGGACGAATCCAGATCATGGAAAGGAAACTAGTTGCGGTGGAAGAAGCAGTCTAGTGTGTGATTCTTCTTAGGCCTGGCTCAGATCAACTGAAAACATAAACACGGATAATCAGGGAAATTTGAACATTGTCTAGTTTCTAAATATAATATGAAAGAGTTGCTGTTAATTATTTGGGGCTGTGGCAGTAGTGTGAGTTTATAGCTCAATGCAAAATTATTTAGAGGTGTGAAGTGATTGCCACCCGAATATGAGAGTCAGAGTCTGGAACCCCAGCACTCTCATGAATCTCAGATGGGTGTGGCAGCCAACCTGGAACACCAACACTGGGGAGCAAGCTAGCTAGCTAGCCTGACTGAGTCTTCAAGTTCTGGGTTCAAAGTAAAGACACCAAAATATAAATGAAATGTGACCAGGGGAGACCAGACATAAACTGCCAACCTCCCAGTGAACGTGTATACACACATGATTCCTCACATGTGAGAAAAAAATGCATATAATTTTATTCATGCATAAAGGTTGGGAATATATATCCTGGGAGGAAAGTTTCTTTGTAAACTTTTACAATGTGTGATTTACTATTTAATTGATTTTTAAAAGCAACGCATACATACAAAAGCGAACATTTTACCAAGAATATGCTAATACTATAAAACTATATGTGCACATTTTCATCATGTGTGTTGAGTGGCAGCACCAAGGGTCAAGCCCATAGCTTCTCATGTAAGGCTCTACCACTGAGCACTAACTCCAATATCTGTTTATTTAGAAATGCGTCTTCCTGTATGGCCAGGCTAGGCTCAACTTCTGCTTCAATGGTAGACACACCCCTCACTCTGCATTGAGTATGTTTAAAGCATGATAATCGTAACAGATAAACACTCAGAGGAAGGCATATGCCCATGTCATTAGCTGCTGTTGACTCCATGGCAATACCTGAGGGCAAAAGTCTGATGGGTTGGTGGTTTCAGAGGTCATTTGGATCTGTTGTTTCTGGGCCAGAGTGAGGTAGAACATCGTGGCAGAAGGCATGGAAGAATAAAGTTGCTTGTCTTACACTGGCAGAGAAATAGAAGGAAGGAATCAAAACAAGATACAGACCCCAAGAACATGCCCACAGTGACCTACTTCATCTAGGCCCCATCCCTAGACATTTCTACTACCGCTCTATAACACCATAAACTTACGAGTCTAGGGCCAGAGAGATGATGACTCTGCAGTTAAAATCTTTTATTGTTTCCATCTCACGACCTCTAGCTCCAGAGACTTAAGCCCCTTTTCTGGCTTCCTCCTGTACCTACAAACTTGTGGCAGAGGCGCACACACACACACACACACACACACACACACACACACGAATAAAAAAATGTTAAGTAATTTTTTTAAAAAAAGCCTTAGGAGTCCACCTGTAGGTCAGTACATTGACAAGATAGAACTTTCATGACCCAGTCAATGATCAATGGTTGGTCTACCATCCGGGGACCAAACCTTCATTTATGCAAAACAGAGCCTTGGATTAAAGCAAAGAAAATGTTAAAATGCTTCATAATTTAAAGGAGTTAGTAATGATAGCTAATACATTACACACTAGACCAATGGTTCTCAACATTCCCAATGTTTCAACCCTTAAATTCAGTTTTTCATGATGTGGTTGACCACCCCCCCAACCATAAAATTATTTTTGTTGCAACTTCATAACTGTAATGTTGCTACTGTTATGAGTTGCCATGTAAATAACTGTGTTTTCCTATGGTCTTAGGGGACACCTGTGAAAGAGTCCAAAGGTTCCAATCCACGGGTTGAGAGCTACTGAACTAGACATTCTTATAAGCATTCTATAAAAGCCCTGTAAGTTCATAGCAAACTAAAAAAATGGGGGCAGGGGTTGATCAGGCTATTACTCACCCATCAGGGTTGCACAAGACCCTGTATCATAACAAAGCAAAGTAACAACAAAATACTAGCACCTCATGGTCAGACACATAGTTCATGAAAGAAATTCAAATAATCAAAAGTCAAGCACACATATATTTAACCTCATAATTTTGACCTGTCAAAAAAGGTAAAATTCTTAATGAGTGTTAACACCTTTTATTGTTGATTCAAGGAAAGGGGCTTATCTGAGGGATGACGGTGTAAGCTAGGAAAGTCTTTCTGCAGAGTTATTTAGCATCACGACCTGGGTCTTGAAAACATTTGTACCTGGTGACCCTACTATGCTCTTGAAACGCTTCAGTATGGACATGATCAGAGACATCATCACAATTTGTGTCTTCCAATGGTAAGCGATCTATTAATAGGCGAATTGATTATTCATCACAGTGTATAAATTGCAGAGTAGTGGGATACCAGCTAGCAAAAATTAGTAATGGATTATACACACGGTGTGAATGAATTTTAGAGTATTATGCAGAACAAACCACGTTCAAAATGCAAAGTGGAAGGTATACTTTGGAAGCTGCTCATGTTGAGTTCTGGGACAAACAAAACTTGTCTACATCTAAAGCAAGGGATTTTCTTACAAGGCCATGAAGAACTTCCTGGCTCAAACTCATCCCCTTTCCTTACCTTATTTCTTCTTTTAATTCTGTAAGTTAGACTTCAAAATCCATGTGTTCCAAGAAGAGCTAATCAAACAGGCAAGACATTCAGCCGCCGGCCTTCATCGGAAGGAGAGCTGGGACACAGCACTGTGTGTCAGTATGGTTCTAATTTTGTGACACAATGAACGCCAACAGAGATAGTAAAGTCGAAACAAGAAAAGCATAGGCTGATGCACGTGTACAACCTTTGTGATCAGAGAAACTCGTAAAGAGCCTTGAAGCCCCCCTTCATGTCTGATTTCCTCTTCTCTGCATGCCAGCTTTGGCACTTCGGGTGCCCAAGTGCAGAGCCTGTGTACCTCTGCCTCAGATGACCTCTCTCCTTCTCTGTGGCTAGTTAATTCCTGCTTCACCCCCTGCTCGCAGCTCAGTGTTGACCACCTCAGAGAAGGACCTTGCCCTCCCTGAGTCCAACCCTCCCTGTTAGAGCCTAGGTCAGATCCCTGTACTGATTGCTTTTGCTGTTACTCTGACAAAACACCTAATATAAGTAGCTTTAAAAAGGAGAGTTTCCTTAGGCTTTTAGTTTGAGAGGGTTAAGTTTGTTGATGTCTGGTTCTGTTTAGGGGTCTAGAGTGAGGGAGTCCACCAGGTGGAGAAGTGGCTGGTGTCAGAGTAGACAGGATGCAGAGAAAGTGAGCTAGGAACTGGGCACCAGGTATAATACTCAAGGCATGTGCTGTGGGACCCATTCCCCCAGCTAGGCCCACCTCCTAAAGTTTCCATAACCAGCCAGATCCAGCCACTCAACAAATGAACCTTCAGTGATATTTCATATTAAAGCCAGAGCATAGCTCATTTGTCTTCATGACATGTGTTTTCATTTCTTTGGGTCTACAAGCTAGCCTCCAGAATGGCAAACTTGCCCTAACTTGACACTAACTACAAATCTGAGAATTTTCCCCATACCACCCTACCTTTGATAATTTGCCAGGAAGAAACAAAACTCACAGAACTCATTGAAACCCGGTAGAGTAGCAGTTGCATTTGGGTGGGCAGAGGATGGAAGGGAGAAATACAAAGTAGAATACAAAGAAGGCAGAGTCTAGGCTACCAAATAGAAAGCTGTTATGATGGACACTTTGTCCCACTAACATTGCGACTGTACATAAAATATTGACCCTTAGGAGGCTCACCAGAGCTCTGGTGCCCAAAGACTTCCTGAAGCTTCCTTTCGTAAGGATGATGGGTTTATTGATTGCCCATGTGTTTGAACACTGTGTCATTAGTGGGGCTTTTATGATTTATGTCTGTATCCAACCTTACTTCAGACTATTAGGTATGGAAGGCTCAACTCCTACAGACTTCATAGCATAGACCCCTAGGTGCGTTCTCAAGGATTCACCACCTTTAGCACACACCCTGTTGCTTTAGGAAAATCCAAGGGTTTACCTTGCTCTTGTTCAGTACAGAATTTCTGATAAATTAAGGATCAGTACATGGTGGGGGGAGTGCTTAATGTATTTCCTAAAAGAGCAAGCAAGGAGATTTTCTTCTTGTTAAATTTTCCTGCTAACACAGCACGCATGTCCTGATTTGACACATCACCAGTTATTGTAAAAATTATAGTTCAACAATATATGTGATAAAGATAGTCTCAAAAAGAGAACTCAGAGGCTTCCCACTGTAACAAACAGCACCCTCAACTACTGAGAGTGGAATTAAATTAGGCAGAGTCCAAGGTCTCTTCCAGGCCCAATGACAAGCTATTTTTCCTTAGAAAACAAACAAGCTATAGCAAAAAGACTAGTCTACAGGGCCCCATGAAACTTTGAATATGTGACTTTCCAATAACAAAGAAACAGAGTCATTCAGCTTGATCTCCAAAACTTGTCTTTAATGTGTGACAACGTAGGTTTGAGTTGCAGCAGTATGGAATTATTAGTTTGCTGAAATTTGGCTTCTTGGCTAAACAATCACAAACCTTATCTTAATCCATGGTTAATTGTATCATGGCACTTACATTGGCCCAAGGTGGGTTCCTCAGAGGCGACTGATAACAAGAGCGTCCGTGTCCTCAAAGCATAGTCCCAGCAGTTAGAGAGGAGCCAACTTTTGAACCATTGTTTTTAACTCAACGTAGTGCCTAGACATTCAAATATAACCAATGTTTCCAAACTCATTATCAAGCAGATTATTACAAGAAGTAGAGTTCTAGATGACTTTGCAGCACATGCATGTGTACACACACACACACACACACACACACACGCATGCATACACACATGAACACACACAAATGCCATGCTACTAAAATGCTACTTTTCTGTTGCCATTCCAGTGTTACCGCAGGCAGTCACCCAGTTTGAAGAACTGGTTGGAATGGCAGAGACCCTCCTTAAGAGTGGAGGAGCCGTGTCCACACCAGCGTCTACCCTCTGGAGAGCAACAAACAATTCCTCCCCGGATTCGTTTGCCTCTCTGTGCAGTAATTCCAACTCTACTTCCAGCTCCCCAAGTTCTGTGAAGGCTGAGGAAGAGCAACATCCTGGTGAGAAGCAGGTGGGTTGGAATATCTTCCCTCTGGTTCTCTGGAAATGGCCGGACACAAAAACTAAAAAAGGGGGTGAGGCAGTGGGGTGCTGCCACCAGATAAAGTCTAGACAGAGTTATGTTGCTACCATTAGAATTCTATCATGAAGAATCATCTTATTTTAATGATGAAAGTTAATATTTGTGAAACAGACATTAAGTTTAGAAAACTAACAAATAAATCAGGGGGAATAAATGCAGATTTCCTCTAACTGAGATGTAAAATATGTACTAAACATACAAAATACCTTAAAGAGTAAATACCACCTTAAAGAGTAAATACCACCTTAAAGAGTAAATACCACCTTAAAGAGTAAATACCACCTTAAAGAGTAAATACCATCTTAGAAAGTATTGCTGTTTTGCGGTATGTCTTAAATAGCATTTTTATTTCTCCAGGTATCCTCTGTTTTTCTAATTTCAGCTATCATTTCTTATTTTGTAGTTCACGATTGAGAGATGGCAGATTGCCCGTTGTAATAAGAGCAAGCCTCAGAAATTTATTAATGATTTAATGCAAGTACTTTACACAAATGAATACATGGCCACACACAGTCTGACTGGGGCAAAATCCTCTACTTCAAGGGACAAGGTTGTAAAACCAGCTATGAATCAGAATGAAGTTCAAGAAATCATAGGTGATCATTTGATTGCATTGTATTTTCCCACGAACCTGAAATGATGTTACTGTTCACAGTTGGGTTATTATTTTTTTTCAGTCTTTTTTTTAATTTTCAGATTTATTTTTTATGAAAAAAATTAGAATCTTCTAATATTGTTGTTAAATATGAAACTATAAGAAAACTGAAATCTGGGCGTGGTGGTTCATACGTGTAATCTCAACATTGAGAGATGGGTGAGGGAGGGTCCCGAGCTCAAGGTCATTCTAAGGTTCCACAGCAGAGTCAGCAACCAGCCTAGGTTGCATATGACCCGGTCTCAGAAAGGAAAAAAAAAATAACCGGCTACTGAACAAAAAGTAAAGTGTCTAAAATGGAGAAGTTTGGACTAATAAAATTCAAAGCTTCAAAAAATAACAATTTCACTGTTTTAAATTTTCAGTAACAATTTGTATCACTTTCTCCTTCTTAGTTATTGCCCATGTGTTTTGTTTGTTTCTAGAAAGAGATCGTTTTAACCCATGTAGGTTTAAAATTAGTGAACCTCCTTACAAATGATGATTTACCGGTCCCAAATTTTCTTTTGTTTTGTGCAAATATCCAAAAAAAATTAGAAACTCTTTGATCAAGCTCTTTACGTACTGTTTCTTAATAAGTGATTGATTTGTTTTGACTAATATTAGAAATGAATAAATATCAATTTGTGGAAGCTTGGAGCAAAAAAAGAGCATGGAATTCATAACTAGTAGAAAAGTTCAAGCTTCTTGATGCCACAGGGAACAAACATACATGATTTGTATATAGCATCCCATGATTTATACATAATATTCCATGATTTGTATATAGTATCCCATGATTTATATATAGTATCCCATGATTTGTATATAGTATCCCATGATTTATATATAGTATTCCATGATTTATATATAGTATCCTATGATTTATATATAGTATCCCATGATTTGTATATAGTATTCCATGATTTGTATATAGTATTCCACAATTTGTATATAGTATCCCATGATTTATATATGGTATCACCCTTTTGTGAGCTTCAGCTGTGCTTTGGAAACCTGACCATATTCATCTGCCAATTTGGGCTCCTTTTGTAAAACGGAGACAAAGCTGTGTTTTTGCCTCAGTTCACAGGATGCAAACTCCTCACAGCGTGCTCTTGTGTGTGCCACTGTGATCTCTTACAGGAGTGACGAAGCAGGTGTTTCCCAGTGTGGATGACATCTCAATTAGACGGATGATAGGACAGAAGCTAAACAACTGCACGAAGAAGCCGAGCGTGAGCAAAGCTCCCAACTCTCAGGATGCTAAGTAGATCCTAACGGTATGTCTCTCAAGCCTTCACCCTCTTCCGTATGACAAACTCTATTCTGCTGTATCTGCCAACTGGCACTTTCCAGATGCTCGCCTAGGGGAGATTAGTATCCTCGGAGATGTGTAAGTTTAGGAAGATTTTGATATCTACCAGTATCCAAGAGGTTCAATTAGAGAGACACCTTCCCGACAGAAGAAAATAAGAGAGATCAAGATACCCCAGTCTCCTTCAAAGGTGTACCTCAATAACCAGAAGAACCCCATTAGGCCCATACCCCCAGTGTTCCTAAGTCTCCCCAAAAGCACCAAGCAGGAGACAAGGCATTTAATGCATGTGTCTTTGAGGCACATGTAAATTTTTTCAGTCAGGAAGGTGTTTCTTTCCCTGACTGAACCTCTCGGATACTGGGATGGGTACTTGTATATCGTAAAATCAGTTGTTATAATTTAATAACGTTTTGTGTTTCAAGGGTTGGGCATTGCCAATGTGAAGTGAAATTTTGGCCATTTCAGCTTTGCAGGGCTTCTCTCTTCCATAATTTATATTCAGTGTGCCCTCAAAGGCCCAGGAAGTAAATTCCTTGTACAAACAAGCTTGTTGAACCATCCTCTGGAACACCTCTGTAATTTTCTCTACTGGGTCATTTAACTTACAGAAGCTCAAAGGCAGACTTTAGCCCTGCCTTGCCTCATACCCCAGTGACTGTGATGGTTGTTCTTGGTTGTCAAATCTGGAGTTAACTAAAGCCCAAGCAGCTGGCTACACCCGCAAGGAACTGTTTCCTTATTGAGTCGTTTAAGGTGGGAAGACCTACCTTTAATCTGGACCACATGTTCTGGTGGCTGCCTACATAAAGGACATGGAAGAAGCTCACTCCCGATGGCAAACTCATTTCTTCACTAACATTGGAACCTACTTCTTTGAGATTCTGATGTTGACTAAAGACCAGCTGAGACAGTCACTCTCATGGATGGAACAAATATTGGATTCCTGGACTTTCTGTTGGTGGACAGCCATTGTGGGACTAATGAATCCTGTACATGTACACGTACACATGTACATGTATATATATATATACATATGCATTCTTGTCAACAGAGGATCAGAAGCCTATAATTTCTAGGCACTCAGAGCCCAACAACCCTCCCATTCTCTGTGTGGCTATACCTGGCTCCCAGCATATATATATA